CGCACTAACTTCTCTGTACTCATTCTCACTAATACATTTCCGTAATAACGTCCTTTGCGTTATATGGTCTTCAAAGCAGGAATAGTACTTTGCTTTGCCGAATGAGTAATCCACATTAGGTGCTGACCGCTAGGCGTGACTTCGAAGTTAACTGGTTCGTCACATTATTACCATATAGCCAAAATAGGTTCCCTATCATTCAACGGAGACCGTCAACTTTGATGATCTACAATCTCCCGAAGTAGGTTGTTGCTGATGGTATCCAGTCAATGGACATTGAGTATCTTGCGTAGACAAGTGTTCGTGAATACCTGTACTTTTTTGGTGGTGGTTGTGGTAGTTCTCCAAGTTTCAGTTCTGTACGATATAACTATCTGTCTTGACGTTCGTACTGGACATGTTGACTGATGTTAACTGACAGTTGATTCGCGTTCCGTATGTTTTTCAACTGTGGGGATGCTACCGTTAATTTGCCAATCCTTGCCTTTACGCCTGCATCAGATCATCCTTGTTTATCGACGATGTTGCCCAGGTTAATAAATTTTTCCATCTCTTCCAGTCTTTGTTCATCAAGTGTGATTGGGTTGGTGTTCTCCGTGTTGTATTTCAGGATCTTGCTTTTACCTCTGTGTGTGTTGAGACCTATTGATGCATATGCTACTGCTACATTAGTTTTCTTCAACTGTATTTATTCATGTGTATGGGTGGTGATATGAAGCTGTGTCAGATCCTATCCCGGTTCTCACGTCTTCCATTGTCCTTCTGAATGTTATAGTGATACAAATATGATCGATCTGGTTTTATATAGTGAGATCCGGTGAGACTCATGCAGCTTTGTGAATGCGTTTGTGGTGGATTATTGTAATGCCTATACTCATTTTGTTGGATGCACATAGATTTGCAAATCTCTCACCCTTTTCGTTTCTCTCCCACTCCATGTCGTCCCATTATGTCTTCATATTCTGTGTTGCCCACTCCGAACTTAGTACTTAGATCTCCCATCAGGATGGTGAGGTCCTTTCTTGAGCACTTAGCTATGATCGATTGAAGCCTCTAGTAGAACTGATCTTTAATGCCGTCGTTGCTATCATTGGTGAGTGCATAACACTGGATAACATTCATTGTGATTATTTTCTTCTTTTGTCGAATGATGCCTTGATAATTCTGGATTCGTGAGATTCCCATCCTACAATTGCATTTCATGCTGTCCATTGTAGTCCGTATTTCTCCTCAGTTGTCGAGGTCTTCATAATCCAGTGAATCACCAGAAGGAAGAGGAGTTGGGAGAGCAGACAGCCTTGTCTGACTCCGGTCCTTACTGGAAATGCTTCTGTCAGCTGTCCTCCATGCACCACTTTGCACTGTAGTCCATCGTATGTGTTTCGGATAATGTTAACAATCTTTTCAGGAACTCCATAGTGTCGAAGAAGTTTCCATAATGTTCTTCTGTCCACGCTGTCAAACGCCTTCTCATAGTCGATGAAATTGACGTATAGTGATGAGTTCCACTCAACTGATTGTTCAACGATGATCCGTAGTGTCTCAATCTGGTCTGTGCACGACCAATCCTTACGGAATCCAGCCTGATGATCCCTAAGTTCGGCGTCTACTGTGTCTTTCATCCGATTCAGAAGCACTCTGTTGAAAACTTTTCCTGGTACTGATAACAAACTGATGTCTCTGTAGTTCTCACATTGGTTCAGATCTCCTTTCTTTGGTATATTGACGAGATATCCTTCTTTCCAGTCCATTGGCACTTGTTCCTCCTCTCAAATCTTCTTGAATAGAAGGTGAAGCATATTTGCAGTTATTTCAACGTCTGACTTCAGTGCTTCTGCTGGTATATTGTCAGGTCCTGCCGCCTTCCCATTCTTGATTTGTCTGATGGCCATCTTGACTTCTTCGATCGTTGGTGGAGTGACATCTATAGGAAGGTCAGTGTGTGTTGATTCGATGTCCGGTGGATTCAATGGGGCTGGTCTAGTTAGCAGTTCCTCGAAGTATTCTGCCCATCTTCTCCTCTGTTCTTGAATCTCAGTGATTGTCTTTCCTTCTTTGTCCTTGACTGGTCTCTCTGGTTTACTATATCTCCCTGCCAATTTCTTCGTTGTATCATATAGTTGTCTCATATTCCTTTCTCTTGCAGCTTTTTCCGCCGTCGTTGCTAGTTCTCCCATGTATTTCTGCTTGTCGGCCTTAATGCTTTTCTTCACTTCCCTGTTTGCTTCTGAGTAGTCTGCTTGTGCTTTGACTTTCTCTACTCGTGTTCGGCCGTTGTTAATTGCTAGTTTCTTGTCCTTCCTTTCTTGAATTTTGTCCAGGGTTCCCGTAGAGTTCCATTCGTTGTGATGATGCTTCTTAGGACCAAGAACCTCCTGACACGTTGAAGTTAGTGCTTCTTTTATCCCTTTCCAGTTGTCCTCCAAAGTAGTTTCTTGTTCTTTCAGTAGATCCTGCAGAGCTTGAAACCTGTTGTTGAGAGTTATCTTGAATTCGTTAATTTTGTGAGTATCTCAAACGAAGGCTGTATTGAAACTTTGTAGTGCTGTTTGTTCAGTTGTCCAGTGTTTCTTTAGCTTCAGTTTCATCTTGGCCACAACCAGGTGGTGAACTGAAGCTATGTCAGCTCCTCTCCGGGTTCTCACACCTTTCATTGATCTTCGGAATTTTTTGTTGATACAGATGTGATCTATCTGGTTCTCTGTGGTTTGGTCCAGTGAGATCCATGTAGCTTTGTGTATGCGCTTGTGTGGGAATATTGTGCCACCTATAACCAATTTGTTGAATGCACCTAGATTTGCAAGTCTCTCCCCATTTTCATTTCTCTCTCCTAATCCATGTCGTCCGATTATATCTTAATATCCTGTGTTGTCCACTCCAACTTTAGCATTTAGATCTCCCATCAGGATGGTGAGGTCCTTTCGTGAGCACTTCTCTATAATTGATTGCAGCCTTCCATAGAACTGTTATTTATCATCGTCGTTGCTATCATTGGTGGGTGCATAACATTGGATAACGTTCATTGTGATCTCTTGCTTCTTTGTTCTGAATGATGCTTGGAGGATTCTGGGTCCATGTGATTCCCATCCCACAAGTGCATTTCGTGCTTCTTTGGACAGCATTAAACCAACTCCGTGAGTGTGTGGAGCATTTTCCCCTTCGTGACCGGTTTACAACAGCATCTCTCCTGTACCTAGCCTTTGTTGTCCAGTTTGTGTCCAATGGGTTTCGCTGATTCCGAGTACTGCCAAGTTGTATCTCCTCATTTCCATTGCTATTTGACTGGTCTTTCCTGTCTCCCACATCGTCCGGACGTTCCATGTACCTATAAAGAGTGTTGCTCTGGTTGTTAGAAGGTACATCGGTCTCGTGACTTCCGAAAAACTTCGGCTTTCATCATGGGACGTCATAATTATTCTTTCAACTCCCAGGGCAGAGTTTAAATGGTTTGAATTGTTTTTTCTGGTTAGGGTTTTTTTAGCGAGTTAGCTTTTCTACGGGATGGGGTCGCTAACCCCATGCCCAAACCTCCTCCTTTACCCTGGCATGGGACCGGCAGTAACTCTAGAAGTGCTACAGGCGGAATTATCCGGACGTTCTATATACCTGGTTGGTAGATGGAGCTAGCTATCTAGCTAGGAGCACAGTATTAAACTTAACAAACGAACTGGAACATTAATTAAATTCCCTCCTCTCCACGGTTATACTTCTGTTCCTTTAGTTGACCTACCAGTGCAGATGCAATTGGTAATAAGAAATACGAACAACATACGGGCATAACCACTAACTAAAAGTGGTATCTTGCATTGTTAGTCGTGAAATATGATGATAATATTTGATCGAATGCTACCACCTAGCACTGTTGTCAAGGTTGACGAGGTCAACCATATGCTTGACTACTTACAAAGTATTATACCGTGAGTATTTGTTCAAAAGTATGTGGCGATTAACAAGTCCTCAAAACTAATAACTCCGTAAGTCTTCAACGTTTGATGCTAATCGCATTAGCTTTAACGGACTCACCTAGCTGAAGATGCTCGACCACTCATACACACCAGTGAAGATACCACAGGTATTGTAGTTAGGCAACACTTTAACAGTAAAACCTATAAATGAATCGCGCCCACTCAGTGAAGTTAAAAGTCAGAAGCGAGGAGGTTGGAAGATATAATTGATAGATTATCAATATATCGAGGAGTGACTGATCTAATCTGGATAATGATCACAGGAGACGTTGAGAACGCAGTTCTAAATCGTGATCTGGTGGGGATGATTGCCTGAGCACCTTCAGCTAGGTGAGTTTATTAAAATTAATGTGGTTGGCATCCAACGTTGAGCCCTTATACAGCTAATGATTTTGGGGGTTTATTTACAACTACACCAAACCACGAGTGGGTACGCCATGCTTCACAACTCATACGACCTCCCGCCAGCTTAGATTAGTCTTTTCTCTATAGATCGATGGCCTATCAAATATATCTTTCAACCTCTTCGATTCTGACTTCACTAAGTTGGCACATTATAAATGTTTCTGATCAGGGTATTATTAAACTATGAATATTTGCGGTATTTTTGAGTGTAATTGTGTTTTTTATCTAAAGGTGGTGATAACGTCAGGTAATGCAATCGCTGCAGTTGAACCCACATCTTCCACGAGACTTTAAAACAATACATTTCATTACAAAAACAACATCTCAGCTATTATTCATCAAGAAATCGTCCCTCCGATAATGTTATCATTCCACCATTTAGTCGTGGTTTGTCGAGAAAATGGTTTTAAAAGACACTTTGTTTGTGAAAAGTAAAGTTATATTCAGTAACTTAACGTAACTCCTTATTTCCCTACGGTTTTGACAGATACCACGATAACACCTAAAATTCACGGAAACTTCAAGCGTGAACTAGCAACACGTGCCTTATTCGTTATTACATTCATGCGATGTTTTCGCTGATTTTCCCATTAGAGACATTTAGAGATTGTAATTATTGAATACCTACCCATCACCTAATCTGAATTTTTTTGGTCTCAACATGTAGCTACTATTGAACTTTGTGGTATACGAAGCGCGAAGGTGTCAGTCAAGAGTGTAACGTTCGCAACAAGGTGAGGTAGAGACGGCTCTTAATTTGGAATTATTGACTGATTGTGTGGGTTGATACCATTATTTTTGGCAGTCGCAGTTAGTTAGAAGTTAATTGAACTGAACTGGGAATTTCCTCCAACGGCAATCCCAGCAAACTGATCGAGTTGTTCATTACCCTATCATGATTTGAGTTGTGTTTGGTTATCAATAGGTTTGAATAATCGTTTAAATCTACAGGTTATCAGTGTTTTAACAAAATAACATAGAATACATTTTTGGCCAACTGAGGCAAAATGGTTTGGGTCATTTGCCAATGCACTGGTATGTAAGTAAACATTCAGCACAATTTGATTTACACTAAATAGATCATTATTAACACATTCAATGTGAATTTAACTTTCCAGAATACATTATCTCAGTATAGCATTTAAGCTGTTTGAAACAGTTGTATAACTGTCTCAGGTTTTTATTGCAGATATGTTTGTTTAGAATTGTTACATCACAAGCTTGAATTTAAGCTGGTCAAAACAGACCTAGATACACCAACTATAAGCAAACATTGGTCAAGTCAATTTGACGGAACAAATCGCTATAAATGAGAGAGCTGTCATCAAAATAGGCTATTTGTGATACTACTGGATAACTCTCGCTTCATCGATCTTTAACCGTCTCCGGACAAAATCTAAGTATTTTCCACTTACTAGACTGTAAATCACACCCTTTTTGATTTGTTTATGTTACGTAACTGTATGATTTACCAAGTTTTTTAGTTTCTGTGACCTGTTGATTGAGTTTCAAGTACTCTGACTAATTAGGCATAACTGCATGACCAAAGTGAAAAACTTAATAATTAGCTTGTCCCCACCATTTTATCATCTGTGTTACGGAAATTCTGTCTAAATATCCTGAAACATGAATGGTGGGTGAAGTTTATATTCATACTTTGTATGCATCGAGGTAACAAAAAGTTTCTATTTGGTAAAATTCAGTGAAAATTAGTTTATATTTCTGGGGTGTAGACTTAACTTGATTTTAAATGGATATATTCGGTCTAACTTACTTTTTTATAAGCGGGTCTCGTGTTCGAATTTCGTTTTAAACAGATTAAACACAAAGGCCTTCGATGATTCGAAGATTATTGGTACGCAGGTTTTGATTATTGCTATCGTTATAGACCTACTTTAGATCCCTAAAAACGGAATCCCTTCAATATCACAAATTCTCCACAACCCCCAGGCTTTTAGACCTAAGTGAGTTTTTCGATGATAAGAAAAACTGGGGAGAACCAACTGTGTACAGTGGAAGACCATGGCGCAAAGAAGAGCTTCGACTGAAGAGTAATGTGGATCTACATAAACTGTGGTATGTGCTTCTGAAGGAGCGTAACATGCTGATGACTATGGAAGAAGAGCACTTCCGTTGTTTGGAGCGAATGCCTAATCCTGAGCGCTTTGAGAAGGTAGGTCAATGTGTGTATATATTAGGTAAAGTTATCTCACTTACTTTCGAACTTTATCTCCTTAATTATTTTGAAGTTATAAAGTTAGATTTACTGAATTGATACTGGTTACTTGTAAATTACTGGCTGTGGCTTAAGAGTCACGAAATTCGACTTCCAACTATTAGGTCGCATGTCCGAGTCACTTCATTTACTTCGGTTTGAGCAGGTGGGTAGTATACCAGTTGTTACTTGAAGCTGTAAACACGAATATGTACTTGGCAAGTGAAATCAGACTACCCCTAAATAGTAATATATCTGTGTGTTAGGACGAAGTGTGATGTTTCATTACGCTTATAAACACTAAGGAGACTGAATTTAACAAGAACAAATGAAGTGGATACTGACCAAGTGGTGTTGCTTTTCGTGTCATTGTAATATTCTACGTTTTATACTGGAAATTCCTTAGTGTAACCAAACATTTGATATTAAATAAAGCGACTATTAATAATCCGCACACAAAACACTTGGAAAGTTTACTTTTGTTATAGAAGCGAAATGTTACTCGTATTTGCTCATTATCTGCTGGTCAGGCGCTATCACTAATGAGTTTTACTGACATCTGTTGGCCTTACTCATAAAGACCAAGCTAACCGATACAGTTATGCTAGTGAAGAAGCTGGAGGTTTATGGGTGCAAACTATTTGGTAGGGGTTTGAGGTATAACAGTGATCAGGGCTTGGAGACTGTCTAGACATTTCAGGATCGACCACAGTGGGGCAGATGTATTAATCCTTAGTCCTTCCCTATGTCTTAAGCCTGAGTACTATCTTGTACTCTTGATCCATCGAATTAATCTCTTTCCGAACGATATTCACCAATGTTTTATCTTTTCCATCACCACTGATACCGCTATTATCTCAGATTTTGGTGTTCCTCCTGGTAATTTCAGCTATCCACACTGATATGGTGTGATACATCTGGCTGGTTTACGTTTTTCACAGGTCCCACGTTGTTCATGACTAACTACGAAAACTAATTGAATTCCGAACTCACTTCGAACTTTGTCTTGACGTGGCGGTTGGTGACATCGGTCCAGAGATATACAAGCAAATGGTATCATTATCGATCACAATTAAAGAAGTTTAGCAGAAGAATACCACTTGGACTCTAGCCATAAGTTGTTACGTGTTTGCCCGTACATTTGTCTAAATATACACAAGAAACGTACATTAGGAAAGTGTGTTTGGTTTAATAACAAGGTTGTTTTTAAAGAGGGAATCGGCTAGACGGTTCACAAAACATGCAGACGATCACAGTAAGGATGTAGTTTGATGCGGAAGCAACAGTAAATCATTAAATCATAAACAGTGTGGGTTTTGGCACAAACTTGGATTGGCTCATGCTTATGTTCAAACAACACGTAGAGGAAGTAGCACTAATGACACAAAAAAACTGAATAGAATACAGTTCACAATGAATTAATGGAATTAAAGAATAGGACGTATGACCTATATCAATTTAGATCTCTGCGATTGCTGCACAGACCAACTGGGAAGTCCGCACTTCTGAACATAAATCAGTCTAGTAGTCAATCTCTTTAAAGGGCTGGTGTCAACTGTAGCATTCTTTTTAACTACTTCGATGGTGTCTCAGAATACGCCACCCATGTAGCAGGCATCTTAGGCAATAGAAGTCCGCAGCACCATTAGTTGGTCCATAATCTTTTAACTAAAACTGTGAATAATCTTGCAATGAATCCCTCAATGGCCTTCATACAGATGTACTGTCTCAAAGACGCCTGTAGTCAAACAACACCAACCCACACCGTAGCTGTTACTTTGACGAGGAGGTCAAACTTATCAACTGTGACGCCGAACTATGTTACATAGGATTCTTTCCCTATAAATATTTAATTAAAGTAAGGACATTTGTAGCAGAACAATCTGGATATATTCTGAAGACTAGTAGATATTTCACGTTGGCAAAAAGGATTAATCGAGATTGGAGATAGTAGAGTTAGGAAAAGAAGATGGATGTAAAAGGATTTGAAGGATCGTTTGTGAGTAATAATTAGTTCTGTATGGATTAACGTGCATCATTTTTAAGTTTATTTAGTATAAGTACGTTAACCTATGTTATCTGTTTGGGACTAGCTTACTTCACAATTTAAAAGTTAGATTACACCTGTTTTTAAAATAGGTTGAGGAGAGTATGGAGAATCTTTTAATGGTCGTAGAAGAACGTAACCGTGCAGAAGATGAATTAGAAATAGGTGAATGGGTTGGTCCAAAGGTCGTGGAGTCAGTAGACCCGTTGGGTCGAGCAGTTCAAACACTAACCAGTGAACATCTTTCTCCTAAAGTTATACCAAGTCATGCACAATCAGATGAGCGAATGTGGAGTGAAAAGACGGTGAAACTGTTGCGGTTGGAGCGCGAAAAGCGAATTATCAGAAGGCGCGAAAGTCAACGTAGGCAACGTTATTTCGACAGGCTTAAACAATGGAACAAAAGTGACTATCTCGACGAAGATTCGATTTAAAGACTATTAGAATAAAGTTATATAGACCTTAGTGTATATAATGTAAATAAATACTTAAATATCTACATGTGTTGGTTCAGCCAATTATAAGAAAATATTCTATGGCTTATACAGTTCCGAACATTAAAAAAATTCAAATCAAAAGACTTATTTCTTAACAGAAAGTGTTTGTAAGGTTACAGCATAAACTAGTGATTCATTTTTAAATCAAATGAGATTTGTGTGGTGCATATATATCTGGTGCCCCCATTTTAAAAACCTGATTACGAGTTTAAATGACTCGAGAAACTGACATGTGGCGGCGATAAATGTTATACTTTGTAGTTCACGTTATGGACTGATTGTAACTTGATAGTTCTATTGGTTTAGTTTATCCAGCCTGTAACGTAAACTACGAAATCCAACAATCTCCAGGATGTCCCCTATATTGAGAGTACTGATCTTGGGGTCAATTGTGTAAACTAATAATAAAAGCCTAGATGAACACTAGGTAAATGCCAGTTTCGAACAGATCTCAGGTCATTTATCTGGTGTACATTTTTAGTACGCATTGCAGGATTTGATCACCATGGTCAGGTGTCACTTTCATATCCAGAAGACGGCCTGAGTTAGTAAACTTACTGGTTTTAAAATGATACAAAGGCTAGGAACTTGATTATTTCATCCTCCACCAGAGATGAAACTTTACAAGACCGATTTAGAAATCCGGTGACCATCAATCTTGGAGACTTTAAGACATCCATTTGATTCGGTCTGCCTATAGTCACTACATGTACATTTAGTTTCATAAGACGGAGCCGGCCACCGTAGATGTGCATCTACACAGGGTCAGAGATAAGTTCAGATTTGAAAGTGAACACCATTATCTGTTTACTTACTCGAGGTCCAATGGTCTTTTATATAGTTCGTAATATACCATGACTATCCTAGATATACGTCTAGAAAGCTCACCTTTCATCAGGACGTACACCTTGAGCGATCTACTAAACGTATCGTCACCCAGTTTCCTAACCGTGAGATTGATTCCCAATTTTCCCAGCTAATATTTCATAATAAAAATCAGTCAAACAATGGTTTTCAGAATGAGGATTTGTGGAGATTGTTGTGATTCTAATGGTTGAATTGATGAATCAATCTAGGCTAGACCACTGTTGAAAACCTGGAGACGATGGACGACTGTTTCGTTCTAGTGTGGGACTCGGACCCAGGGCCTTTGGTCTCGCGCGCAAACACCTAACTCCTAGACTACTGAGCTGGCATCCACCGATGTTTATCTCTAACTTCAATTGATTCATCACCTTGCGCAACCCTTCATCCATTGTCCGAAGAGGTATGGTCGTGCGAAACCATGGATAGATTGAAGTTAGACAACACCGGTGGATGGCAGCTCTGTAATCTAGAAGTTAGGTGTTCCTACTGTGACTAACACGCTAAGGAACACACTAGTCTGGGTGAAGCATTTTCAAATCAATAAGTTTGACTGTGATTCTCACTATAGAATAATATTCGCTGGAAAAATCGGGAACTAATTTTATAGTAGCAACAGAATGATTAGAATCTAGAAAGCTTTGGCTTTATATTGAGTGACATAAATTATTAGTATTTTTCGATACAGCATACCTAAGAATGGGACTTAGATGTTCCTTGTAAACGCCACGGTATCCTTATATTACAAATAGAATTCCGAAATGCAACTTACGAAGGAGAAAACTAATCTACAAGTTTTCGCTACATTGCTTTCTGGGCTCTTAATATATTCCCACTGTGATTTGTATTTAGTGATAATTACTCAGTACATGGATTATAATCGATTTATAGATGATCAACTAATAAAGGACTCTTAATTTTACTGGGTTCACCATTAACAAAACTGGGCTTCTTACTGTAGTTAGCGATGTAGGGAAGAATAGGACAGCAGAAGTATCATTTCAGTGTAGTGAAGTTACTAGTTATTCCTTGTGAACGCCTCATGTCCTTAAATTTAGACAACCGACAATAATCACCAGTCAAAATATTTCTATTGAACTAGTGAAATAGATAGTGTTGAATATGTGTAGTCAGCCTCACTGGGATGGTTAGTAGCAACTTCATTTAATGCGGCATTTTGACGACTTGCCTAATAATGTGACCTATTCAACCTACCTAAAACCATTGTCTGTGTCCCAAATTTCCAGAAGGATAAAAGTGTAAATAGCTCCAGTTTCAATTGAAATAGTTTGCACTGGGACGTAGGTTCTGAAGTTGGATTCGTATTGTTACATGAGACGCCAGATGGAGAAAACATAATTTCTGGTAGAATATTTTAACCATTGATCTTTGAGGAGAATATGACCAATGATAAAAGCAATAATTTCAACATTCAATAGACATATGTACATATATTTATTAAGCCAAACACATTAAACTGATTAGGAACGTAGCTGTTTTTCCAATTCTAGTGTCTTTACTAAGGCGTGATTTAATTTCTTCCCAACAATTGATGCTAACTAAAAAAGCGTGTTAGTCAAGAATATTGTTACCTGTGACATTTCAACAGTTGATTCTAATTGACAACTACAACACCCATCTTGTTCTAATGAACCAATTGAACCATCTGGATAGATAACAAGAGATAACCTAAAAATACTTGTTAAGGACATTTTTTTGTAAATCTGACCTGGATAATGAACAGGCTTCTTCCTCCTTGCTAGCATCTATGAGATATGCTTTCCCAATCTAGGAGATCAAGTGAAAGTACATTGCCTTATGATTTTTGAAGTAACGATTAAAACAAATTGTTTTCAATTCTAAAGACAATAGTAGGCCATTTATCTAATTAGTATCATTTACATTCAAGAAAAAGGCGCAACCAATAATCTGGTACACGAATCCGTAGGTAACTGGACAAGAGGAATCGGCTAACGGATGGGTCGATATGATTTTGATAAATAACATTACTGAATAATTTACTTATGCCTGTTACCCCTTGTGGAGGAGCATAGGTCACTTACCAACATTCTCCATCCAAATCTGCCCTAGTCACTTTTTTCCAGTTGCTATTCATCCTTTTGATGTAAGCTTTTAGATTTCGACGCAATGTGTTCTTTGGTCTTTCTCTTTTTCGTTTCCCTTCAGCATTTTAAGTAAGCACTTACTTCGTGGTGTAGCTTGATGATTTCCGAAATGTATGTCGTGCCTACTTCCATCTAATTTCTGCTTCAGATGGAAGCTGGTTTATTCTCTCCCACAATAAGATGTTGCTGATGGTACTCGGTCAACGGATATTGAGTATCTTGTGTAGACAATTCTTTATAAATGCTTTTACTTTTGTGATTATGGTGATAGTAGAACATAACTAACTTTCCCGACTTAAATTAAGCGTTTATATAAGATGACTAGACCTGGCATAAACAAGTGTCTTTAAATGCGTAAAACAATGTTGAAGCCCTTGGAGAGATGGAATAAGCAGTAAGTGAAAGGATGCACATTTACATCTTCATTTTCGGATTGACTTTTACAAGTATACATTGTTTAGTGAATAAGAGGTCCGCCTATAATATCACAGTTTGCATGATACTGAAAGCACCAAGTACATCAACTCTATGACGGATATAATATTACTTATAACCAGTAGTTTTGTTAGTGGGATATAGATTGGATTAAGCATGTTTTATGCATGATGGTGTTGCTGCGCGCTGATTGGTTAATTTTAAACCGATCAGCCCGGGCATATTATTGCAGAAAAATCTATAAGCTTCTTATGTATATACTATAAATATATGAACATTATTTAAACTATTGATTGCTGTTCACTTACTATTATTATTTTGAATACAATTTGTTTCCTGTTCAACGTGTTCTGATTTTGGGGTCTTGTCGAGTGTCATCGTATAAGAATACTAAGCAATAGGAATAGTTGGGTCGTTTATAAAATTACAATTATAATAAATTTAATGATTGAACATTCTAAAACTGATTTACAAGTGTACCTACCTTATGTACTGTGATAAATAACGGCAACATATCTCCATGAAACTGTTTAACACCTGCTTCTAGTGACTTTGAATTTTCAAAAACAGACAATAATAAAGAATTTGACTGTCTAAAAAGATTTCTTATAATTTTAAAGCAATAGCGACATACGTAGCGTTTAGTAGAGCAGCTTTGACTACCAAGGAGGAAGCATCAAGTAAGTTTCCAGCACCCTCTAAGATCTGGGAAAAATAACTAAGTATGATAAAAACTGACAAGCAGATCAATATAGATGACCCAGCACTGCCGACCTCGTTGGATACACAGAGGGCTTAGATCTATAGACTTCAATTGATAGGCTGATTGCAATGTTGCCTTCAAACGTTCCTCCAGTTCGGATGCTGCCTTTTCATTACAGCGGTGAGTTGCCGTAGGGTAACTGAAAAAGATTTTGTACAAATCGTCAGTTTTGTAAAAAAAAATGTACGTAATGATACAGCTAATGAGATATATGGGATATTGAAAGCATATATTGACACAAAACATTAAATATACGTTACAAAGTTATATATTATTTGAAGACAAATACCTTTCACTCACCACTCAACATTTATTTCAATACGACCTTCACTAGTGTTAGTTAAAGAAGGTTTGCCAACCTCCATTTTAACACAGCAAACGATGAAAGTTTCACCCTATAAACGATGAAATTCAACATGGATATTATGTAATTACAATACGAATACTAGCTGAACCAGTTGCGTGACTCAAAATATTAGTTTCGATTTCTAAAGGTCGATATTCACTTGGTCCACGACCATCCATTCTACATCCCACCTAAGTTTAGTTGTGGTTAGCAAATGGGTTTACTTCAACTCCTTGTACTAAGTAGAATCGTTCAAGATCACTCAATAAGACTGTATCCATAGTGATTCGATATCAAACCAGGCAATTTATTTCGGCATACCTGTATATGAAAATAAAATGCAAACACGTAATAGTAAAATAAAATGCTACATGACTTATTTATAATATTTGTATCCGTATTTCTAGAATATTCGACTTGTCAATATTAAAAAGTTTCCGCTGATCCTAAATTTTTCAAGTGCAAGTCGCTCCGAAAATGAAGTATGGAGGTGTTTTTAATGATCCCTTAAGGTATCAGGGAACACTTCCTTCCTCAACTTCACTAGGCACTTTGAAATACCAATTTGATTATACACAGACAATTATTACAAGTACTGTATGAGTGTCTAGACCAACAGAAGCATCCTTCAGAATAATACAAATAAATAGTTAACCTTGAAGTTAATTTGATCAACTAACCATTACAAACGCATCAACAGGGATGACAAGTGCTTTCAAAATGCACAGTGAATCGCGAAACCTACTTTTTGGACTTAGGATTGGAGGAATAAAGAAGATTTGATAAAAAACACGGACGAAAAAGAGCACGACGCGCTATTGAAAAGGACAGTGGTATTGTTTCTCGTTAAGTTTAGTTCACTGTTTTGATCATAAATTACGTATCAAAACTACCGTTTACACTTTAATTGAATTTATTTCAGTTAACGTAACATTGTATTTGTGTTTTGATCCTGCTTTTGTGTATTTACTGCATCAAAGCATTCTTGGTCGACTGCGGCTTGTTTATTCGATTAAGGTTATGATTTGTCTTGCATATCTACCTTGCCTATCATTTTGTTTCATTCTAAGATGGTCGGCTCTGTACACAAGTGTGGACAGCCATATTGCTTATTCCCCGTGGAAGAAGGGATGCAATGTGACGAATGTAAGAAGTGGTTTCACAAAATGTGCGCCTGCTTAAGCCCTGCTGCCTATAAAAGGTGCTCGAAACCAAATACTCATTGGCTCTGTATGTTTTTTTTGCTCAAGCAAGACATTACTCATTCAGGAAGCCATCAGCCTTCTAGCGTTAGCTAAAAAGGTCGACGTAGACCGTGCCGGCAACATGGATACTGATAACGAAGATTGTATCAGTGTCGTAAATGCTGCCATGGCTGGTACCAGACACCCAATTTTGCAACATGAAGCAAAAATTTCTACTCCGATACAACCAATGAAAGCCATGCCATTAAGTACTGAGGGACCAGTTGCTTTAGCAGCGACTGAGGACTCGGCTAGAACCACTATCGTCCAGAGTAGTTCCAATCTGGATGCTGAGACTAGTGGGAAATGGATTACAAGGAAACGCAAAAGAGACGGAAAAATACCCAAAAAAAGCGCGCGTATAGTCGATAAGTTCTCGTTGGACTCACGTCCTGAGCATCAGGCAATTCCGCTCAAGTCCAAATGCAAGAAAATATTTAATACTGTTGTGGATGGTAACAGTTTAACTTCACCAAATGTTGTTGTGAGTCACTCGCTCGACCCACATGACACTGTTATAAAGAAAGTTAACAGTAAGAAGCCGGTAGCTAACCGGCAGGATCTGACATCACGATTGAAGGCCGTGAACACGACTTTTAAGGAAGTTAAACAGGTGCCTAGTGTAATCATCTGGAACTTGGCAGAATCGAAAGACACCGATCCCGCTAAGAGACATGCCCACGACTTTCAGTTAGTGGGACCTTTCATCAGAAATATACTGCCCGACGAGGTCCCAGGGGTACATATCTCGAAAGTCATCAAACTCGGTAAATATGTTGGGGGCGAAACCCAACAGAGAAGGATCCTTAAATTAGTACTCGGTAATTTTGAGGAAAGGGACGTATTACTAAATAACGTACGCAAAACTCGTGACTCAAACATTCGTATTCGACCTGACTGGCCACTTGAGGATCGGATCAAGTGGAAGAATGCCCTAACAGAGTTAAAAAATCGAAAGCTAAACGGTGAAGCGAACCTTACGATTAAGGGTTTTCGGGTAGTCAGGTCTTGGAAGCCAATGCTTCCGAGACTTGTGTGGGTAGAACGCATGTCTCCAAAAACACCCTAAATGTGTGTTATACGAATGCTCGTAGTCTTCGGAATAAGATGTCTGAACTAAGTTTGGTGGTAGACGACTTAAATACGGATATAATTGTTATCACCGAAACTTGGCTCACTGTAGATATAGACTGTTCTCCAGTCATTTCAGGCTACATCTGTATCAGAAGTGATAGAGTTAGAAGTCGCAAGGGAGGAGGCATAATATTATATGTTAGGGATCACTTCCACATAAACTCGATCATATCGGAGGCGCATGTAAGTGGTACGTGTGAGGTAGTATGTTGTACAATTAGGTCTAGAAACGGGTTAGTGACGATAGGAGGAATATATCGTAGTCCGTGTTGTCTCGCTGACGACTTTATCCTAAAACACGTCTGTTCTTGGAGTAAAGCAGAATGTTGTCTCATCGTTGGAGATTTCAATGCACCCCATATAAACTGGATAGAGCTCACAGCTCCAGGTGGGAGTTTCGATAGCGTCCTGTCATCAATTATTCAATGTACACTTGTACAATGTATCGTTAAGCCGACGCATATAGACTTGGAACATAATTCGTCATTGATAGACTTTGTTCTCACACACCACTGTGAAGATATCGTTGACATTCAACACCAGTGACCATGTCGTACTTTCCTTTAAGTTCCGGATACATGGTATAGAATTTGCATCTGCTCCACCCCGTCCTAATATCTGGAGAGCTAATATTCCGGCAATCAGGGACTATGCTATCTCGATTGACTGGTCGGTCGATGCTGATGGATCGATTGATGATGCATGGAATAGGTTTAAATCTACGTTCGAATCCGTAACTCAACCGTTTATCCCATAGTCAGCACGTAAGCTATCATATTGCCCTCCATGGATTAATAAGGAAACCCGGAAGCTGTTGAAGCGTAGGAAACACTTATGGGACTTATTCTTGTCAACAGGTCAAGCATCATTTAAGTGCGAATATAAAAAAATCCGGAATATATGTAAAAAGACCATAGCTAAATCCCACACGGCTTACGAACGACAATTGGCATACGATAGCCGTACCTGTCCGAGGCGACTGTTTTCGTACGTTAAAAGGCGGACGAAACGTAGTGATGGTATCCCCTCATTACTGTTAAGCGAAAATTCAGCTTTATTGTCTGAATCTGATCTAGCGAAAGCGGAGACATTTGCAAACTATTTCAGTGAAGTCTACTCTACGTGTAGTGTTACAACAACTTGTCCCGTTGACAATGAGATACCAGCCATAGGACCTTTACACGTGACAGAGGATATTTTTCTTCCTTTGATAACTAACCTAAAACCTTGTAAGATGCCGGGCCCCGATGGGTTACACTCACGTTTACTGTCGTCGCTTGCGGACATTATCTCAAGACCGCTCACGATGCTCTTCAACATGTACCTTTCACAGGCTCAACTACCTAGAGACTGGAAAGACGCCATAGTTAGTCCTATATTTAAGGATGGTCAGAGACGGATCGTATCTAACTACCGGCCTGTTAGCCTGACCAGTATAGTAGTTAAGTTACTTGAAAAATTAATTCGGGCTGAGCTACTGAGCCCCATAGATTCGTACAATCTGTTAACTCCCGAGCAACATGGGTTTCGTAACAAGCATTTATGCTTGACCAACTTACTCATTGCGAGAGAGGATTGGACAGCTGCTCTAGACAACGGCCAGTCTGTCGACGTGATATTCATAGATTTTAGCAAAGCGTTTGACAAGGTTACACACTTAGGTCTTATGCAAAAGCTCTCGAGCTTTGGAATAACAGGTGCTATACAGGAATGGATAGGAAGCTTTTTATGTGACCGTAGACATAGAGTAAGGGTCCATGGAACGCTATCCGAATATAAACCGGTCAAAAGTGGTGTACCCCAAGGTACCATCTTAGGCCCTCTACTTTTCCTTCTGTATATCAATGAACTACCTTTATTACTTAAGTCGTCGACGTTATTGTTTGCGGATGATGTCAAAATCTGGAGAACAATAAGAAATGAGACTGATCGTTGTTATCTACAAGCAGATTTAGACGAATTAGTTAGGTGGGCTCATGATTGGGGCCTGGAAGTTAATTCCAGGAAGAGCGTGTTCATGCACATCGGGCACGATATTAGTTACTATTATACCATTAATGATACATCTCTGCCAGGCGTTCATGAGCACAAAGACTTAGGAGTAATTATAGGTCACGACTTAAAAACTACTACGCACTGCAATGCGGTCGCTTCCAAAGGCTTTCGCGCGCTATGGTCGCTTCGCAGAGTATTTAAATGCTTTGATGAGGAGATGTTTTGAATTTTATATCCCACCTATGTAAGATCACACTTAGAATACTGTATCCAAGCAGCTAGCCCTTGTCTGATAAAGGATACTAAATCGCTTGAGCGTGTCCAGCGTGTAGGGACAAAATTAGTAAAGTCTTTCTAAACTCCCTTACGATTAGCGTTTAAAACGTATAAATCTTTTCCCCTTATCTTATCATAGGACGCGAGGTGACCTTATACTGGCACTTCGTATCTTTAATTATGATCTGGATGTTAATATGTCTTGTCTTTTTGCTCCCCCCCCCCAGCACTAATAATCTCCGGGGTCATAGCAAGAAGGTTCTGAAACCGCGATCTAATAAACTAAAGGTGGGGTCCCGTTTTTCTCATCGAGTGGTCAATGACTGGAACGCTTTACCAGAACAAGTGGTATCAGCACCATCAGTGAACATTTTCAAAAAGAAGCTGTACCTTCACTGGAAGGAAATCTGTCAGGATTAACATAGATTCATCAACCTACTATAATTATTACTGAAGTTATGCGAAACTCACATGGGCAGTAACGCTTACGTTTGAAAGCTGTAATGTTGCCTTTTTCAAACCTCTGAAAAATTGCCTATTGAATTCTTCAATTTTGTGGTAGGAGAGCGTTCTTCTTAATGCGAAGACATACTTTATTTTGTATTCTTTCTGGTACCGAAGAATAAAAAACG